TGGAGTGCAAATGGCGCGATCTCTGCTCACTGCAACCTCCGCCTCCTGGGTTCAGGCAATTCTCCTGTCTCAGCCTCCGGAGTAGCTGGGATTACAGGCACGTGCCACCACGCCCAGCTAACTTTTTGTATTTTTAGTAGAGACGGGGTTTCACCATGTTGACCAGGATGGTCTCGATCTCTCGACCTCGTGATCCACCCGCCTCGGCCTCCCAAAGTGCTGGGATTACAGGCTTGAGCCACCGCGCCCGGCCCAGATTTTTCTTACGCATCCATTTGTTTTATAATCTGTGTCTGGCAATATCGGATACTTTTGTCAATCTTTTTCTGTTGCATTTTGGTCTTCTGGTCCTGCACTGTCACCCATTCTCAGAGCCCCACGTGCGGCAGGGAATGAATGGCTTTTGCTTGGCACTTGTCTCTGGTCTTTCTTTGACTCAGCTCATCTTCAAAGCCGGTACTTAGTTCACTCTTCTGAAACACAACTTTATTGCAAATCTCCAATCCTCCCATACCCAGTCAGAAACATTATAATGGGATTTAGAATTTGGCTTACATCAATTTAAATGACTCTTTCTGTAATACGTTGCTGTATTTTCTGTGCCTTAGGACTCAAGACTGCATTTGTTTATCCTTACGTTTTGTGCAATGGATACAGATCAAATCGCATGCTTCCATGTTTAGGGTGTAATCTGTGCCTTTGCTCCAGCGACATGGCAAGTGTAAGCTGTGTGTCTGCGCACACCTGATGCAGTGTTTGCGCAGACATATGATGTGCCTGGTGCACCTCCACATTCTGGAGACTTCACTGAATGCTGCAGATACGCTCCTCTCGCTGAGCTCTCTCCACTGAGTGCACAGATAAACGCTCCTCTCCCCGAGCTGCCTCCAGTATAGCTCAGGCCCTTCGTTTGCCATAACCCCTCTAACTCTTGAGACCAGTGATCATTTCCTCTTATTGACTGCCTACTCCATTTCAACTCTCAGTCACCTACCTTTATGTATCATTTCTAGTCCGCGCAATGACCGTGACCCTCTACAGATGCTGTTACTGAGGCTCAGAAAGATCAAGTCTGTTGTTGGTCTAAGATGGTTTGAAAATTAGGAATCCATACAGGTAAAACAGTTACCTGAGCTTCCTTCCTACAGAGCATGGAAGGAAGTGGCTGTGGTACTTGGGAGGCTGAACTGGTGGGAGTTCATGATGATCTGGACGCAGGCACTGGAAGGAGAAGGGAGCCGGATCACTCCCGGTGTGTCGCCGCAGGGAGGTGGCTGTGCCAGTCATTGAGACGGAGAAACATCCCACAGTGAGGAAGAGTACATGTGCGTGTTTTGTTTTGTTTGGTCCATAAGGAGAGGAAATGGGAATGTTAATACCCATTGTGTATATATTTCAGGGTATTTGTGATGAACCTATGATATCTCATAGGAAATAGAATAGGTATCAGTCTGAAGCCCGAGGCTAGCTCTAAACTAGGCCTAGACATTTGAGTCTTGTCTTCACCACGGATCACATTGGATGGATTCACCCAGTGCAAATGTTCAGGTGCCAGCCCCTGCACCCCTGCTGTGTCATGAAAAATTTAACGGTGTCACAGACAGTGACAAAGGTTGGGAAAAATTCAGATCAAATGTCCTTTGCGTCCTTTCAGCTTTATGATTTATGGGAAAAGATTTTATTTTGATAAAAATTCTGCTGTAAATGAACTCTGTTTTATTTTGCTCAAATGAGAATCCAAAAATAAGTCTGACGGAGGAACGCTTGTGAATTATTTCAAGTAGATTAATTCCCTGAGGAGAATATCGTGTGTTTCTCAGACAAGTTATGGGACTGGGTTCACCTGGTCGTGATAAATGCTGCAGGTTTAATTGTAACAAATTAGAGCTTAAAGGTAGCAGGCATCGTGGTGCCTAAATAAGACTATGTGGTGTATTTTAGGAAAGTACATTTCACATTTGTTCAGAGTCCATGTTAGCTCATCAGACACTTCTGTAGCTGTAGAGCAGAAGGAACTCTTTGGACACCAAGGAGCTATCATTAAAAGACCTAACATTCCGAGATTTACGAATGCTTTCTTCCTGTAGCATGAAACAGGTTCATGGGTCTTCCTACTCCTAACACTGCTGAACACAGTATTTATTTAAGATAATTTATTTCATTTTTCGTATTACGTAATCATGTTGCCTTCTGGTTCAAGTAACTGAAATGACAGACACTTTTCCACTTAATCTGGGTCAGGGTTTTTGGTAGCAATTTCACAGTTGCTAAATTAGCAATAAAATGAGCTTAAAATGTGTCGATATAATCTGTTTCTATAATTCTTCTGAAAATGCTAGGTTTAATATATATTGAGGCGGTGACAAATTATGTTACAGTATAGTATTTTACAGTCGAGTAGAGATCCAGGTTTTAAAATTCTGTGAAATTAGAACATTCTAAAATTACACAGAGTGTAGCAGTGATAGTTACTCTGCCAACTTAGTGTTTGAAATCTGGGCATCGTAGAGATTTTTAACGTTAAAGAGCAAATTGCTGTATTAATCAAGATATACGTGACTCAACGTGCTTGTAAGCTGTCTACTCTGTATGTAGTAGTAAATGCTCCCTATGTGGTATTGTATACTCCTTATGTGGTATTATATACCCCACGTGATCGTATATGCACCCTCTGTGGCAGGATATGCGCCCTATGTAGTGCTGTACGCTCTCTATGTGGTGTATGCGCTCTGTGTGGTTTTACCTACTCCCTGTGTGGTATTATATGTGTCCTGTGTGGTATTATTGTTTTAGTTGAAGGTGAGTATATTTTACTCAGTGATCTTTCACTCGTAAACAGTAAACTTGCATTTTGCCCTGTTTCTACTTATTTTTATCATCCTGAAGATGATTTCTGGCCTTTTTCATGAGTAGGTACTGCTTTAGACAATCTTCCATGGGCACTTGTATTCATCTTACCATTGGTAATTATTATATTACATGAAATAATTGAATATTCCATGATGCGACAGCTCCACGTAAGTCTGTCACCACGGAAATGGTTTCGTGAGCCACAGGCTTCTCGTGATTGAGGCGCAGTGCCCGGAAGAGCTGTCCTGGTCCTGTGGCTTCCACCACCCTGAGCCCAGCGGCTGACCGCAAGCCCTTCAGAAATTCCCGGCTCACAGCAGAAACCCATTTGCTTTATAGTAGCTGAGGCAGGCTGACGCTTTTCAAAACAGCGTAACACAAATCTGAAAGAACACAGCACACAGACAGGAAGCCATGTTTACCAGAGAGCAGGTATCTGAGCCAAAGAATCAGAGCCACGAAAAGCTTGATGGGAAGTCACATTCCCCTTCCAGGCCCTTTCCCCCTCCTCTGTACAGGAAGGCCATCACTTCTTGGCCGTCTTGCCCCTTGCCTGCCTCCTTCCCTCGTAAGTAAGGCTAACATTTGAGCTAAGGGGCCCATGACTTCCACTTTCTTTGCCTGATTCACAGAGAATCTTTCTCCAAAGCCCAAATCAAAGAAGAGTGCAGGTAAATACGTGGTTTCTTTTCCTTCTTCAGTCCTCCTGCTCACCCTAAACTCATGCAGAGCAGCCCTGCTGTTCTGTCACCGTTTTCAGGAATGTCCTTGGTTTTTCCTGAGCCTTTTCTGCCTGTCAGACACTCCTCTGAACATTTGGCAGGCAACGGTTCGCATAGTCTTTAGCACAGCTGCTAAAGGTTTTGTCTGTAGCCCATTTGTTACTAGGACACACTGGAGGCCCAGAGGTGGGTAGCTTGCAGGTGTGGTGGCTCTGGGCTGTGCATCCACGTGGCACGTCCAGCCAGCCCTCCTCCCCAGGGAGCTACGGCGTCCTGCCCCCAGAGGCCGAGTGGGCCCTGTGTCCCGCCTGGAGTCATCTTTGCTCGGTGTTTGTGTCTTTGATTAGTTTGGATTATAAATAGCCAAAGATGGTGAGGTCCTGGTTTGAAAAGGCTGTGTAATTAATTATCAAAGACTTTGTGATTAACACATAGGATTTTTAAGATGTGGATTCTAGGGACAGATAAGTTCTTTAACTCCCACGCAGGCTTCCTTCATTGACTGTGATTCGTTTTTCAAGTGTGTACTTACTAATAGTAGAACTATGTGAATTGCCATTTTGGTGGGTCAAAATTGTTAATCAGCAATTTCACTCTGGTTTAAGTGCATCCTGTCTGCTTTCTGGATAGAATTAAATTAGACACATGTGAGCCTTTTTGAGTTGCTGTATAGGAAGAACGGCACTGTGGGCACAGTCTGCCCCGAACGTGATGTGATTTGAGTGCATGTTCTGCTGGGTAGGGTTCCAGGCCTGCAAGGTTCCAGCCTTCGCTCATCCAGTGCGTCAGGCAAGGTTCTGCAGAATTGTCCCAGATCAGATGACTCGTCATATGTGCTTTAATTGCAGTCTTACTACACAGACTTAAATTAAGAAATTTGAAAAATAATTAAGAAGTCCAGTGCATAGTTAGCAGATACCATTTTATTCCTCCTGGGATGTCCCGTTTGTTCATGTGCTTTCCAGTTCAGCCACTGAAACACGGGCAGTATCCCATGGTCATTGTAAAGCAAGTGGGTGAAGCTTCAGGGCCATCTCCCATGTCGATTTGCAGGGGGACAGCGCCTGCTCCCCTTGCTCTGTGCGCACCTGTCCTGTAAGCCCTTGGTATTGGTCCCTTGTGGGCGCACGCGTGCACACTCACAGCAGTCTGTCTTTTTGTCCCATCTGGTATTAGAGACTGTCTTGAAGGACAGAAAATGAGTTATCCATTTTTCTGTCACCTGCAAACATTATCTTGGGTGTAAACATGTTTGTTGACTTAAATGTCAGTAAATTCATTTATTTTAAAGTCTAAAATCCAGTATGTATTTTCATATAAAATGAAAGATAATGCATATTGAAAAGTACGAGTCTATGGAACCAGAAGCCTGCATGTGTGGCCTGGGTCTGGATCACACTAACCACTGCAGTGTGTTTTATTTGGCAGTTTGCGTGTGAACTTGGACATGGGCAAAGCGGTGTATGGATGGATGATGATGAAAGATGAGAACATCCCTGGCACAGTCGTCCGGACCAGCACTATCCCGGAGGAGCTGGGACGCCTGGTGTATTTACTGACAGACAAAACAGGTACTGTTCACATCTGTGTTCACCTTTGACTGAACCAAATAAATGACACTCAGTAAAAAAGAGAGTCGCGTAGCATACAGCTGGATGTTTCTGTGTGTGTGCCAGAACAGATCGTCGAACCCGTGTTTGGAATTGTTCAGCCTCTGCTCTTGAAAACTGTCACAGAGCTTAATCATCCGCTAGTATACACAGTATCATAAGAATTATCAAAATGTTAAGTTCTTAGAGCTTTAAGTAACATATTTCTGTGTTTTTAATTTTCTACAATCTTGCAGAGTTTTAGAAACTGCCTTTATAACACCTCCCTAGTGGCTTATTAAGAGCAAAAATTGTATGTTTGTTTATTATAAAATGATACTTGTGAGGTACTGGAAGAAACTAACAGATATATTAATATGGTATTTAATACTCACGTTCTCCTAAAAAGCTTTTCTACAGACTGTTTATCCCACTTTAAAGCTCTGGGACCAACATTCTGTTTGTCCTTATTTAATTTTCTTTTTTTTTTTTTTTTTTCATCAAAGAACCTTTAACCAATCCGTAACAGACTAAAGGCAAACATGTGGAATCTGGTGCTACAGACTTCCTTACAAGGAAAGCCACATCCAAGGGTTAAAATTCCTCCTTGGTTTATTGAGTCATAATTTTAGTTCTTAGTGAACTAAAAATAAAAGAACACTTATATAGCATGATAAAATATGTTGCAAACAAAATTGAACTCATCTTTTATTATTAAATAGTAAAAAAAAGTCCTCACTATAAGCAGCAAGAAGACAGAAATCTGCAAACAAGACTTATTTAAAATTTGTAAGGGAAGCTCTAGCTATTGCAGTAAGCCAATAAAGAGAAGTAAGGTATAAGGAAGAAACAAATAATTGCAGATATAGCAAAGGGGCAGGTTACAGATTAAAATAACAAAATAGGTCTCTAATCCGTAAGTGGAGAATAGACTGAAGGATAAAGCTCCCATTCAAGGGCTTACGTGCATAGAGGACGCATAGGCGGGAGGCTGAGGACTGAAGGGAGAGCGTGCGCAGGCGGCCCCCAGCTTCACAGTGGCTCAGCTTGACGATGGTCGACAGCAAGAGCATCTGCTCAGAACTGTCCTTCTCTCCATGCAGCCATTCTGTTACTCACTTCGATACAGTAGTCAATCAATTACACGAGATACTCAGTACTTATTATAAAATAAGCTTTGCGTTAGCTGATTCTACCCAGCTAACATAGGGGTTCTGACACAGTTCAGGTAAACATGGCTAGGCCATCATGTTTGGAAGGTGAGATGCATTAAATGCGTCTTGTACCGAGGTTGGGTCTGTTGGGATACAACCCCATTATAAGTTGAGGAGTCTCGGTTCTGGAAGTCATACTGCTGTCTCAAAAGTAGAAATTCAGTATTCTTTGTGTCAGCTTTCATCATGGGAATTTGTTGGTTTAGTGTAATTGGAGGTTCAGTTGTTGGATTTGTGTTTCAGTTCCATTCGACTTTGTCCTGTGAGAGGGTGAGGAACTTGACCATGAAAGCAGTGCTCATGAATCCCGATGACTCAGGGAGCAATTTGAGGGGCTTCTGGTTCAAAAAAAGGTAGATGCGAAAGTGTGTTAGGATTTTCCCTTCCCAACCTCATGAAGGCTACAGAAAAATATTTAAAGAGTAAATAAATCCTTGAGAATACACAGAAAACAAGCAGGAGTAAAATTATTAGAGGAACCAGAAATTGAGTTATTTCTGGAAAACAGCTGGAATCCGTTTGCAGTCGATAGCAGAGCAAAGCAGACCAAAGCTGCCAGTGGCTGCAGAGGAGACCCCACTTGGGTGAGAAATGTCCTGCAGAACCAAGGGGTGGAGGAGCCCCAGATCGGGAGCTGACAGGTGTGTGGGGCAGCACGAGAAGCCAGGAGCTGTCTCGAGTGGTGCCTTTGAGATCAGATGACCGCCAGGATCTGCTCACGCGCTACCTGTGAGGGCTGGTTTTGCAACGTGGAGGGTCTTTTGGGGAGAAGGACTCACTGGCTCATGTGCCCTGCCCCTTACGAGGCATTCACAGACAGCCCCTTGATTCAGAAAACAGCCCTTGGGAGGAGCAGGTTTATGGAACTGCAGAAGAAGCCCACCTCATATTACTCTGTGATCAACTGAAAGACTCACCAGCATGAAGTCAAAGTAGCAAAATATGAACAATTATACTGTTCCCAAAGAAGAGAAATTCATAGAGAAGGCAAAAGAAACTTCAAGAAAATGTTCAAGATTTTAAGAGAGTTTATTTATATGTATGAGCTTAGTATCCAAATTAAACTATACTTCTGTATATCAGCAGCAGTTAGGACAGTTTAATACCAAAACACTAATTAGAATAACAACAAAAAGTATAAAATCATTAAAATTAAATGTAAACAAAAATATGTAAGACCTAAGTGGATTTATATCCTAAGGCCTAAGTTTTATTTATATAAAAACTTATGTTTTTAAAATTTGAAAGCCCTTAGGATCTAAATTGATAGGCATGCTAGCTTCATGAACAGGACATCTTAGAGTAATGAAGGTATCATTCCTTCTCACATGGAAAGATCTGATGTGTTTGCAGGCCTAGGTGGAATCGGCAACTCCCGTTCACTCTGGGGGGAACTTCAGGTTAGCGCATCACTTGGTAAAACACGTTTTGGCATTATCAGTCACGTTGAATATGCACGTGTTCTACCATCCAGCTATTCCCTAAAGAAATGTTTTCACATCTACACTAGAAGATAGACATAAGAGTATTCATAGCATTATAATGGTTAACAAAAGCCAGCACTGTGTAGATATAACACAGAAAAGTATACCTAAAGTAGAATGGACCAATGAATTGTGCAGTGTTCTTATAGTTGAATACTAAATAGCAGTGACAGTAGAGTACAGATATTGACAGAAGCATGGATGGATTCAAAAATAGAATGTTCAAGAACTAAGAAAAATGTAAGAAAAAATTTAATAAGGTTTATTTATATAAAGATGAAAACCATAAAAGATGAAACCATTTAATACTTAGAGGAAAATAAAGGATGAAGCTGTAAATAAATGCAAACACTAAAAAAAAGCATGTAGACCAATATGAATCAGAAGGAAGCTGGTTTATCTACCTTGATTAATATTAAGCAAAATAAACCTTAAAATGAAAAACATTATTTAAGAAAGAGGGTCACTGCATAAAAGATTCAATTCAAAATGTTTGTGTACATAATAAAATAGCTTTAATACATAAAGCAAGAATTGATAGAGGGAGAACTTGATTATTTGCTCTCAACCAGGGAAAGAAATAAACAAATCTTTTGTTTATTGGTAAGCCAAGCAGGCAGTTCAGAAGATTTGAATAGCATAATCTCAGTGTAGATCTTATGGACATATATAGAGTTATTTATCTAACAACTAGAGAACACATGTTCTTATCAGACATGTATGAGAAAGTTACAAAGATTGGACACATACTAGGCCATGAGTCAAGTTTCAACAAATTCCCAAGAGTGGATATTCCTGATTATAATAAACAGAGATAAAAGAAGTTAATAACAAAGAAGTAAGTTTTAAATCTCTGCATTTTTAGAAATTGAAGAATATACTTCTACATAGCATAGATCCAAAAAGAATTAATACAAATTTAAAATGCCTAGAACTGAATAATAATGTAATCACTTTCTATTAAAGCCCATGGAATGCACAAAATCAAGGCTTTATAGGAACTTTGCTTCATGTTTTTAAACAGAAAAACAAGAAAGACTAAAAGTCAATAATCTTAATGGCCAACTCAAGAATAGTAACATAAAGCCAAAGAAATACAAAGAAAGAAGTTATCAACAGAAAGCTGTGACTTGATAAAAACTATCAAGGATTAATACCTCTTGTCAGACTTTTGAAAAGACAGCAAAATAAACACACTTTAAAAATTCTGATCTTTAAACAGTAAGAAAAGGTGAGCTGGGTGTGGTGGCTCACGCCTGTAATCCGAGTACTTTGGGAGGCTGAGGTGGGTGGATCACCTGAGGTTGGGCGTTCAGGACCAACCTGACCAACATGGAGAAACGCCATCTCTACTAAAAGTACAAAAATTAGCCAGACGTGTTGCCGTGTGCCTGTAATCCCAGCTGCTCAGGAGGCTGAGGCAGGAGAATCGCTTGAACCTGGGAGGCGGAATTTGGTTGGCTCATGAGGTTTAGGGGAAGAAGCCATCTCCGTAACGTAAAAGCGAAGGTGAAGCAGCAAGTGCTGATGGAGAAGCTGCAGCAAGTTCCCCAGAAGATCCGGCTGAGACCATTGATCTCAGTGTAGCCAGAACAGCCTTCTGTTGGAAGATGATGCTATCTAGGACTTCCAGGGAAGTCAAAGCCTGGCTTCAAAGGACGGACCAACTCTCTTGTTAGGGGTTAATGCAGCTCTTGAGTTTTAGTTGAAGCCAGTGCCCATGTGCCATTCTGAAAATCCTAGGGCCCTTAAGAATGATGCTAAATCTACTCTGCCTGTGCTCGGTGAGTGGAGCAGCAAACCCTGGATGGCAGCACATTTGTTTACATCGTGGTTGACCAAACATTTTAAGCTCACGGTTGCGACCTACCACTCAGAAAAAAAGATTCTTTTCAAAATATTAGTGCTCATTGACAAAGCTCTGATGCACACCGATTGAGAAACCTCATTCACCGAAAAGCTCCGATGCAGATGTACAAGGAGATTGGCATTGTTTCCATGCCTTCTGGCACAGCATCCATTCTGTAGCCCAGGGATTTAGGATAATTTTGACTTTCAAGTCTTATTATTTAAGAAATATACTTCATAAGACCATAGCTGCCATGGATAGTGATTCCTCTGATGGATCTGGGCAAATCCAATTGAAAACTTTCTGGAAAGGATTCACGATTCCAGATACCATTAAGAACATAAGTGGTTCATGAGAGGGGGCCAACATTTATACAGGTTTGGAAGAAATTGATTCCTATTCTCATGGATGACTGAAGGTTTCAAGACTGCAGGG